CAGGCAAGCTCTGGTGACCTTTTTGATAACTTTCACCTTTTGTTTTCTTGGCAATGGCTGAAATACTAAGCACTGGCGTTGGCTGCACATTTCCATCAAATTATGTTCGATTCTACTTTGGGGTGAAGACAAATCTATAAAAAGAAGGGGGAAAAAATCCTTGATAAACTCGGGCCCGTCTGGAATACCCGCTGAGTTCATTGTTGGGATCAAGGAGGGGGGGGAAAAGCCAATTATTTTATTTAAATTGTAACAAACAGCAACAACCTTCTGTTTTTTTCTGAACAGGTGGTATTTTAAAAAGAATCAAATCGTGCAGCTGTTTGGGGAAAAAAGAAAACACAAATTAATAATTTTCTCCTGTTAACGTGTAATTAATGTTTGGTCACAGTTCTTCCCAGGGAGTGTGCAAATAGTCAGAAATGACAGAATCGGGAAAGAGATTGCCGTTTTTTTGGTGCTTTTTCATTTCTCTCTGTGTGCGTGTTTGTGTGTCTGTGTGATTTTAATTGGCTTTAAAACAAAACAAGGACTTTTTTTAAATATGAAAGAAACCCCCGGGTTGTTTCGTTGAGTTTTTTTTTCCTTCCTAAAGCATGAAATATTTGTAGTGGCTTTCCACAGGGGTTGGGACAAGTATCCTGTTGCAGTTTTTCTTTTTCTTTCTTTCTCTCTCTCTCTCTCTCTCTCTCTTTTTTTTTTCTTTCTTTGTTTCTTTTTTCTCTTCTTTCTTTCTTTCTTTCTCTCACTCACTCACTCACTTTTTTCTTTCTTTTTTCTCTTTGTTTCTTTTTTCTCTTCTTTCTTTCTTTCTTTCTTTCTTTCTTTCTCTTCCTTCCTTCCTTCCTTCCTTTTCATTCAGGGTTTCACAGGGACATAGGCACTCCTCCATCTGTTCCTCTTCACAACAATAAACCTAGGAAGGGTGTCTGTGTGAGTTGACTAAGACAAAGCAACTGGCCCAGAGTCATCCAAGAGCTTCTTTGCTGAGGGAAGACTAGACCCCAGGTCTTGCCCTTTCTAGTGTAGCCCCATCCCCACTACACCTGATTGGCTCTTGGGCTGAGAGGCAGGATTTGGCCCAAGTTCAGCCAATGAGCTGAACTTGGGGATTAGAACCTGGGTCTTCCCTCCCTTAGTCTAGCAACTGAGAAGTACAGATGTTGCAGACAGTGGAATTATTTCAAATTAAATGGCTAGTGTGGCAGAAGAAGCGAAACTTTGCCCCCAGGGTTCTCTCCCAGTTGTAAATGTGAAAAATGGTCATGTCACGTTTTTTTCAGTGCCGCTGTAACTTTGAATGGTCACTAAATGAATATTGTAAGTCAAGGACTACCCAGAATCCTGAGAGTCAGTTTGGTTTCGTAGCTAAAGACGTTGGGCTAGAAGCCAAGCACCTGGGAGTTCTAGTCTTGCCCAAGGTGCAAAAGACAAGAAAGTGACTTTGGGCCAGGGCTTCTCCCTCAGCCCTCAGAAGAAGAAGGCCAGGACAACCTGTCCCCCAAAAATGTATCCGACAAAATGGCAGCGACTTGCCCAGGCACAGACGGGCAAAAAGAAGAAAAGCTAGTCCCGTAGAATCAGAAGAATTCGAAGCCGATGCCAAGATGGATTTGCATCTCCAAATTTTTTTGCTCCGTTCCTCTTCTCTCTTCCCCCCACCCTCCCTTCCCTCTTCTCCAGGCTGTAAGTCTGCCAAAACCACCCTTAATCTAGTAATAAACTTAAGAGGAGCCGAGCTGAGGGAATGGCGTTAAAACGGCTTTGGCTGTAATTTAGCGGATTCCCTCGAAGACATTTTTGCATCGCTGACTGATTAGGCGTCTTTTGGAAACAGGATTATTGGATCGCTATGAAACAATTGCTCTCTGACCTTCCGCACGGGCGTGCTGACTGCCAGCCAAGGCCGGGAGGGGGGACATAACAAAACCTAACCTAAACAGGCACCGTCCCCGGAGATGTCCTGTTGTTACAAGTTGGCTGGCAGATCTCGAAGTTGGCTCCCTGCCATCGTGCGGAAACTGCCGCCCGCATATTTTGAAACTGAGTCTCTGTCTGGGGGAAAATTGGGAGTCTGATCTTGGCAAAAGCAGCTTGTTCACTTGCTGCTTTTAACCCTGGACCGTTCTGCTCCCCAACCCAGCCACTCAGGAGGCAGAGCTGCTCAGACCGGATGGCATCAAAGTGTCCCGGATGACAGCTTACTAAAGCGCGCCATCGATTTGAATGTTCCAGTTTCAGGATTTTATTTTTTTATTATTATTCCTGTTAGACAGTCCATGAAACTATACCTACAGGTGGTCCTCAACTTACAACCAAAATTGGGATCAGAATTTCTGTTGTTAAGCGCATCCTGCATGGGACTTGCCAATGGCATCTCCTTGCCCGCTTTGCAAGCAAAAGGTCTCCTGCCTCTGGCACCGGGTTAGACTAGAAGACCTCCCAGGTCCCTTCCAGCCGTGTGATTATTTTTTATGTCTATGTCAGAAAGTGGGACTAGATGAGGGGTACTGTTGCTGACAAATGACAATCATTGGGACAGTGCAACCATCATACATACATGCCGGTTGCCAATCACCCAAATTTTGATTATGTGACCATGGGGATACTGCAACAGTTCTGGAGTCCCCAATGTAAGTCAATTATTTCCGTTCTATTCTATTCTATTCTATTCTATTCTATTCTATTCTATTCTATTCTATTCTATTCTATTCTATCCTATTCTATCCTATCCTATCATTCCAATTTCTATTCTATTCTTTCCAATTTCTATTCTATTCTATTCTATTATCATTCCAATTTCCATTCTATTCTATTCTATTCTATTATCATTCCAATTTCTATTCTATTCTATTCTATTCCATTCCATTTCTATTTCTATTCTATTCTATTCTATTCTATTCTATTCTATTCTATTCTATTCTATTCTATTCTATTCTATTCTATTCTATTCTATCCTATCCTATCATTCCAATTTCTATTCTATTCTTTCCAATTTCTATTCTATTCTATTCTATTATCATTCCAATTTCCATTCTATTCTATTCTATTCTATTATCATTCCAATTTCTATTCTATTCTATCATTCCAATTTCTATTCTATTCTATTCTATTCTATTCTATTCTATTCTATCCTATCCTATCATTCCAATTTCTATTCTATTCTTTCCAATTTCTATTCTATTCTATTATCATTCCAATTTCCATTCTATTCTATTCTATTCTATCCTATCCTATCATTCCAACTTCTATTCTATTCTATCATTCCAATTTCTATTCTATTCTATTCTTTCTATTCTATTCTATTCTATTCTATCCTATCCTATCCTATCCTATCATTCCAATTTCTATTCTATTCTTTCCAATTTCTATTCTATTCTATTCTATTCTTCTATAGAGAATTCTATTCTGTTCTATTCTATTCTATTCCATTCTATTCTATTCTATTCTATTATCATTCCAATTTCTATTCTATTCTATCATTCCAATTTCTATTCTATTCTATTCTATTCTATTCTATTCTATCCTATCCTATCCTATCATTCCAATTTCTATTCTTTCCAATTTCTATTCTATTCTATTCTATTATCATTCCAATTTCCATTCTATTCTATTCTATTCTATTCTATTCTATTCTATTCTATTCTATTCTATTCTATTCTATTCTATTCTATTATCATTCCAATTTCTATTCTATTCTATCATTCCAATTTCTATTCTATTCTATTCCATTCCATTCCATTCCATTTTATTCTATTCTATTCTATTCTATTCTATTCTATTATCATTCCAATTTCTATTCTATTCTATCATTCCAATTTCTATTCTATTCTATTCTATTCTATTCTATTCTATTCTATTCTATTCTATTCTATTCTATTCTATTCTATTCTATTCTATTCTATTCTAGGGTTGGACTATGGAGCCCTTAATGCTCTCTGAACTTGGTAGATGTTTCAGATGTTTCATTACCCAACGAGGTAACATCATGAGCACAAGGAAACCAACCAGATAATTCAGAATTCCTATGGGAATCAGGAACTCCAATAGGAAAGAATATCTGTAGCTCAGAGTGCTCTCTGAGTTTGGGGGTTTGCTTCTGAATATTTCATTATCAACTAGGAAACATTATCAGTGCGAGAGTGTGGGGTTATATACAGTAGCTTGCCCTGCCCATTTTGCTGGGAGTGTCAGGTTTTTTTTTTCCTTGATGGTTCCTTGATTAATATGTATTGCTTCTTTCTTGATTGTGAGAGCGACTTGAATATTGCTTTCTGTTTGATTGCGGGGAGTGCATTCCCAACACCAAATATCAGTCAGAAGATACATTGAAAAACTCTTTAGTCTCACGGGCAGACTCAACTATAGTTTCAACTGGGAAACCGTTAGTAGACTAAGCTAAATCCGAAAACACTAGGGAATTCCTGAAAGCTTGGCATTCAGACAAATCAGCCATCAGTAGACACACAGAGATAAGCTATATTTACAAACCATTCAAAAGAGACAATAAAAAAGCTTAGAAGGAAACAAAACAGACCAGAGACACATCCTCTCCAGCAGCCAATACCCAGATAAGCAGGGATTAACACCAGACAAACAGTCCAGCAAGAGACAATACCTCAATCAAAGAATTACCAAGGAGAAAACCACACCCCCCACAAAAACCGGCAGGCAAGCTACTGTATATGAACAGAGAGCAAGCTCCATACTCAACTGGCACTGATGATGTTACCTGGGTGGGTAATGAAACATGTTGGCTGGGGAATTCTGGGAGTTGAAGTCCAGATAGCCTCAAATGTGAATGACTGACTATGATGGTTGTTCTACACTTGGAATACCTGCATCATGTTTTCCCATTGTGCTTTTTATTCTTTTGCCCCACTGCCTTGGTCAGGGGGGAAAAAAACAGGGAGTCATCAGAGATGGTCAGAGATGGAAAAGGAAGTGGGTTTCTTTGATGAAAAAAAAACCCGACTCTTTCTTTTCTTCTTTCCCTGCAGATGATTCCCTGTACGAATCGCCAGAGCCCATTTTCACCAGCAATAATTCCTGCTGCAGCTTCACCGTCCCCGATGCCTTCTTCGTGGTGGTGCCGGTGTTTTGGACTATCCTCGCTTCCTAGCCCCCGGCGGAATTGCAGACGAGAAATTGGGGGGGGGATGTTTTCTTTTACAGCGGCAGCTGCAAAAACCAAGGGATGGGGGAACGTATCAGAGGAAAGAATGAGAGGAAGAGGAGAGGAAAAAGGAGAAGCATGAACAGGGGCGTGTTTGTTACCGGATTAGAAGCGACACACTTGGGGAGGGAGGGGGGGCTGTTGCAAGGATTTTGATCTACGGTCTCTGGTCTCTGCCCACGTCAGGCGAAGGGGCCCTCGATTTCCTGTCTTTGCCTTTGCGTCTCCTGAAAAAAACAGAACACCCCAAATTGAGCCAGACCCCCCCCCACTCCCCCAGAGTCTGATGCAGTACAGAGGGAAGGGGGGAAAAAAGGCTCATTTTTTTTCTTAAAGAAGAAAAACTGTGACATGGGGAGCTGAGCTGGTTTTATATTTCAAAAACAATCTTCCACAGACCTCGATCAAGCCAGCTGGTGTAAAAACACCCCCACCCCTTTAGATTAATCCCCCGTGGAGTTTTTCTTTTTAAAATCTCTAGACCAAATATAGTCGTTTTTTTATTTTCTTATTTTTCTCAGCTTAACCTTTTCTGGTTTTTGGAGGGTATCTGTGTGTGTGTGTGTGTATGTGTCTACTCTAAACTTTTTCCACAACTGGAACTCAAAAAAAGAAACATCACAATGGGGGGAGAAACCAGAGAGGACCCTCTGCATTGGTGCCTCATTTTATTTTTAATTTTTTTTTTTGCAAAGGGTTGGGTGGGCTTGAGGGACATCCTTTACATTCCCTTTGATGTATTTTTTTTTCTTTTTCTTGAATATGATGATACAGCGGCGAGGGGAATGGACCTCTCACGGTGACCAAATTACATTTTGTGATGGTGGAAACCCCTTAACTAAGAGAACCACCAACTATAACAAGACCATTTCTTCAAAAAAAAAAAAAAAAAAAAAAACCATCTTGAGGACTAGAATATTGTTATGCCAAAACCTGTAACTCCTTCGGATTTCTTTGTGGTCATATTCCATGGGTATCGAAGGCTCACTGCCACTTAAGAAAAGAAAGGAAAAGAAAAGAAGAAAAAAAAGAAAAAGAAAAATAGATTGATAAAAGAACATCTCACACTTCCGGGCATATTCTTCCTCAATTTCTCCAAGAAAGACTGTGGAAGATGCGCCCTCCGTTGCTTCACGATGAATCAAAACTCTGGACTGTGTTCTGTGTGTGTTCAAGGGGGGGGGGAGGGAGAGTTGTCTGAACAGAAGGATGATTTATGCAGATCTAAAGCTGGGAAAGTGTAATTTGTAAATCTTGTTTTTTCTGTTCATGAAAGCTTGGGGTTGGGGGGAGCGGGGGGGGGAGGAGAAACCAGCACAATACAACTGAAGGGGCAACCTCTGGAACACCCTGCCCATGTGGCTGTACTGGTTTGAGGGGTGTGAGCTTCTGAGTTCCAAAATGGTGGATATTTTGGGGTGCCCTCCCTGCAGACGAAAAGTCCTGAATGACCAACTTTCACACCCAAAACAAAGGATCAGCTTGGAGGGGGGGCTTATAATGTGTTGATCCGCCCTGCCGTTCTTCCTGTGAGAAGATGGTCAGTGGAAAATCGACCCTGGATGGTTCTGAGCCAGGCCTGAAGTGGATCCCCTTTGGGTTTCTTGGTTTGGAAATCCCTAAAGCAAACAAAATGGGGGAATTCACTCTGCCATCCTCCCTTGTTTCTTCCCTCAACCCCTTTCCTCTGTGGTGTCCGCCTGCATGTGTGGACATCAACTCCTAGAATTCCTCAGCCAGCATAGCCGGCTGGGGACTTCTGGGAGTTGAAGTCTGCATGTCTTCAAGATGCCGAGGTTGTGAAACTGCTCTAAACTTTTCTTAAACCTAAGTCCTTTTTCCTCCTAACCTACCATGAATTTATCTAACTAGGGTAGGAGAAGAAGATGTAAAGGGGCTTATAAATGCAATACCGGAAGGCCTTGACTTACGACCGGTTGCTTACCAACTATTCAAAATTACAACAGCAAAGTTACTAACAACCCAGTTCCAGCATCTGCCTCCCCCACGCCATGGTCATGTGATTGCATGTCAGGTATTCAGCAACCAGTCTGCATTTATGACAGTTTGCAGCACATGACCACAGTTTACGACATCTTGTTTTTGCTTTTCGAGAAACAAAACGCCTCACAGGGAACAATGACTTTGCTTTACGGCTGCCAGGGGAAAAGTTTGTAAAAATCACATGACGACTTGCTTTAGGACCGTCACAACACCCATCATTGCAAGGCTCAATTACGGTCATAACTTGAGGATTCCCTATAGACAAAATGAAGGGACAGCAAAAGGGAAAGCGCTTAAGTTGGCAAATCCATTCGGATGTGAAAGTATTTAGAAGTGAAAAGAATCGGCTAAGAGTTGTGATCTTAAAGAATGGCTCTGCAGTGGCCTGGTTCACCCATTGCACTTTAGAATAGAATAAAATAGAGCTGGAAGGGACCTTAGAGGTCTTCTAGTCCAGCCCCCCACTTAAGCACGAGAACCTATACCATCTCAGATAGGTGAATGTCCAGTCTCTTCTTAAAAACCTCCAGTGATGGGGCGCCCATGATTTCTGGTGGCAAGCTGTTCCACTGGTTGATTGTCCTCACTTGTCAGGAAGTTTCTCCTTAAATCTGGGTTGCTTCTCTCTTTGATCACTTTCCAAACATTGTTTCTCATCCTTCCCTCTGGTGCTCTGGTAAATAACCTGGCCCCCTCTGCCTTGTGGCAGCCCCTCAGATACTGGAACACGGCTATCCTGTCTCCCCTATTTCTTCTTTTCTTTAGACTAGCCAAATCCAAATCCTGCAGCCGTTCTTCGTATGTTTTGGTCTCCGGGCCTTTGATCATCTTAGTTCCTCTTCTCTGATTTTTTTTCCAAACTCTCAACATCTTTTTTGTAATACGGTGACCAAAATTGGCTGCAGTATTCCAATTTTTGGTCTTACTAGGGCTTAATGCACCTCTTGTTCCATTGTGGCTTGTTCAGTAAGCTACAAGGGTGTAACTTTGCAAGTTGCACTAAGCCCCCAAATGTGGCCCACAAACTAAAATTTCTGACCATCCAAGCCCACATTAAAGAAATAGCATTACAGGCAGTCCTCTACTTACAATCATTTGTTTAGTGTCTGAAGTTACAACGGCACTAAAAAAAGTGACTGATGATTGCTTTTCACACTTATGACCATTGCGGCATCTGCGTGGTCACCTGATTACAGTAAATTTGGGAAGTTTGGCAACTGATTCATATTTATGGCAGTGCCCCCAGATCCGGTCATCACCTTGGTGACCTGACAAGCCACGCAACGCGCAAGCCAGATTCTGTTAACAACCATGTTGCTCATTTAACAACTGTAGTGATTCACTTAAGTGTGGCAAGAAAGGTCATAAAATGGAGCAAAACTTAACAGTTGTCTCCCTTGACAACAGAACTCTTGTGCTCAATTGTAATAATAATAATAATATAATTGGAAGGGACCTTGGAGGTCATCTAGTCCAACCCCCTGTGATTCGCTTAAATATTGCAGTAATTCACTTAACAACCCCGGCAGAAAAGATTGTAAAATCAGGTGAGACTAGCTTAAGGTTGTTTTTGTTTAGCAACGAAAATTCTGGTCATATGTTGGGGAAGCTGGATTTGTTCAACGACTGTGTGACTTACTTAACAACCGCGACGACGGTCATAAAAACAGGCACAACTCACAACCATCTGGCTTAGTAACAAAAATTCTGGTCTCAATTGTGTCCAGATGTTGAGGATGACCTGTACAACCCAAGCCACTGTCCCCTGGCCGTTTCCCCTCCATCTACCCCAGGGAGAGGTCTTTGCAAGGTTTCTGTTAAATTCGCTGCAACTCCAGGCTGGATTTCAGCCCATTTTCAAATTCAATCTTTCTTTTCTTCCTCCCAACAATTTTGGACTTAACAGAATAACAGAGTTGGAAGGGACTTCTGAGGTCTTCTAGTCCAACCCCCTGCTCAGGCAGAAAACCCTATACCATTTCAGACAATTCACCGCTTCTGGAGGCAGGTTTTTCCACTGGTTAATTGTTCTGTCAGGAAATTTCTCTTTAGTTCCAGGTTGCTTCTCTCCTTGATTAGTTTCCATCCGTTGCTTCTTGTCCTGCCTTCAGGCGCTTTGGAGAATAGCTTGACTCCCTCTTCTTTGGGGCAGCCCCTGAGATATTGGAAGACTGCTATCATGTCCCCCCTCGTCCTTCTCTTCATTAAACTAGACATACCCAATTCCAGCAGCCGTTCCTTATATGCTTTAGCCTCCAGTCCCCTGATCATCTTTGTTGCTTTCTCTGTACTCTTTCTAGAGAGTCTCAACATCTTTTTTACATTGTGGTGACCAAAACTGGATACAGTACTCCAAGTGTGGTCTTCCCAAGATGTTGTAAAGTGGTATTAACACTTCCCTCATTCTGTTCTGGGGTTGGAGAATTAATCTGCTGCTGGACAGAGCCTTGATTTCATTTGTGGTACAGGTAGTCCTTAGAAACCACAACTGAACCCAATACTTTCATTGCTAAGCAAGGCAGTTGTAAAGTGAGTTTTGCCCCATTTTATGACCTTTTTTGCCACTGTTGTTAAGCAAATCACCATAGTGAATCAAGCAGTTGCTAAATAAACCTGAATTTGCTTATTGGAAGGGGAGATTACGAATGAAGATCACGTGACCTCAGGGCAACTGTCATAAATATTACATTATATTGTAAATCAGCCAGTCCCTCTTTGAGGGAATGGGCAGTTTAAAAATATGAAATATAAATAAATAAACAAAATACATTCCAGTTGCCTAACACTCAAATTTTGATTACATGATCATGGGGAGGCTTTAATGGCTGTAAGTATGACAACTGCTCATTGTGGGTCACTTTTTTCAATGCTATTGTAACTTCGGCCACTAAACGAATGGTTATAAGTCAAGGACTACCTCTATTGCCCCCTCCCAACAGAGGCTCATTGGAAAAAATGGTGCCTTTAAGATTCCCTTAAAACAAGGGTCCCCAAACCTGGCCACTCTTAA